CATCTGCTGATAGACACATAGGTTGATTACATATCTTAGCTATTGTGAATAGTGAAGCAATAAATATTGTAGTTCAGATATCTCTTTGACATACTGATTTCATTTTCTTTGGCTACATACTCAATAGTGAGATTGCTGGATGATATGGTAATTTTATTTCTAATTTTTTGAGGAAAGCTCACACTGTTTTCCTTAATGGCTACATGAATTTGCAGACTTATCAGCAGAGTGAAAGCGTTTCCTTCCTTCACATTCTTGCCAATACTTATGTCTGGTCTTTTTGGTAATAGCCATACTAACAGGAATGAGGTGAGATCTCATGTGGTTTTGATTTGCATTTCCCTGATGATTACTGATGTTAAGCATATTTTCAGATACTTCTTGGCCATTTGCCTGTCTTCTTTTGAGAAATGTCTACTCAGATTTTTTGCCAATGTTTCATTGTTTTTTTCTTACTATTAAGTTGTTTGAGTTCCTTATATATTTTGAATATTAACCCCTTACCAGATGTATAGTTTGCAAGTATTTTCTCCCATTCGGTAGACTGTCTCTTCATTATGTTGATTGAAATTTTTTTCCGCTCCCTGACTTGTCTGCTTCTTCCCTTTTTCTTTTCCATTTGGGCATCTTGCTCTGCCTCCTTTTCCTTTTCTAATTGATGTGTTTTGATCTCTTATTTTGGAAGTTTCCTACATAATTCTGGTGATCCTTTGCTTTTTATTGTAATGTAAATTTAAAGTACTACAATCTGAGTTGGCATTTCTTGTGTAAGGTATAGATCTGGCAAATCCTTCAGCATCATATGTGTACTCACCCATTTGCTTGAGAAACTTGCAAATGTTGTGCTTTTGAGGACTTTTTCTGGAATCATTCCATTTCTTCTGAGAAAATGTCTCCAGTATCCTGTACAGGGGCTATCTGCCTAGCCATAAGCATTCTTATAGCGGATGGCATTACAGCCCTGGGGTTCCTAGTCCACATTTAGACTCTGTCCTAATCTCCCTCTACTGGTTGGGCAGAACTTGGGGTCTTTCCATTCCTTTTGGTGGTGAAATGGTGTGAGGTTGGGCAGACAGGTAAACAAACTTAAGCTTTTTGTCATGGATAAAAACAGAACTCTGGGAAAGCATTAGAAGTGGATGAGAAATACCTTTTGCTGAGGGCTCAGAAGAGGCTGCAAATAATAATCATCACAACATCTGGGTTTTGAAGTAACCTCCAGACACACTGATTAATGAATGGGAGGCAGAGATGGACAAATAAAAGCATTTCCAAGAAGACGTATCTGTGTAAAACAAAGAAGGCTTGGAAAAGTATGGTCCATTTCTGAAGCATCAAGGGCTTCAATGCCATAACATTGGCAATTAATATATAAATTAGAACAGGGAATTAGCACTTTATCTAGTTCAAAGAAAAACAATTATTTTAAAGGCCTTTGCATTTCTAGTTCTAAATTTGAATATTACTTTATTTGCTTAGTTCAGTCTGTACTAGTTAATGTATTTCAATTGCATCACTTGCTACTTGTATTTAACAACACATCATTTAACATCTTTCGATCTCAATTGTCTCATCTGTAAAATGGAGCTGCCTGTATCATTCAGGGTTTTTAGTTGTGTGCAAGATAAAGCAACATGCTTATCTAAATAGAAAAGGATTTTGTGGAAGGATGTCAGATCTCTCCCAGGACATAGAAAACTAAGTTTGAATATTACACAATCCTGACAAAATCCAAAATCATACTGCAGAACTAGTACCATCATCACTGCCACCAGTTGGGCACAGACCCCGGGTCCTGCACCACTGACACTCTGCTAGTGTCCTCGGATGCAGCCACTAGACACATTGAGGCTTTGAAAACCAGATGTGGCTGTGGTGCTGCCATCTCCCTCACAAGAATGTGTTTTGTCTGGATCTGTGGGTCTGACTGGCAGAACCTAGAACCTGTGTTCATGCCCTGTGTATAAGGGAATGCCGAACAGTTAGCAATGGACCGTTTACAACTTCTTCAGGGAAAAATAGGCTCTGCCTTGTAAAGAGGGAGGTGCATTTCCAACCATAGAAAGCAGAAACAAAAACTGAATTGTCCATAAGAATGACCAATGCCCACATAGTTTAGGCTTACCAAAAGGTTTTTAGAAGATACAAGACATTATAGTACAAAAAACCTTGAAAACATCGGACATTATTAATACTGTTATCCCTAGCACCTTCTCATTAAAAAAGGTTCTTGAGTAAGTTCAGTATCATTTATTAATGTGCAACAAATTACCCTCAAAACGTAGTGGGGTATACTTAATAATAAAAAAACCTTTATAATTGCAGAGTATCTGTGCTACAGGGATTCAGGAATGGCTGAGCTGTGTGGTTCTGGTACAGTGTTTCTCATAAAGTTGCAGTCACGATACCAGCTGGACTGGCAGCCTGACGGAAGTTAGAGGATTTGTGTACAAGCTGGCACCTTCACAGGAGGAGGCCTTGGTTTCTTGATGGCTGTTGGAAATACACTTCTGTTCCTGAATGCATGGGCCTTTCCACAGAGCTGCTGGAGTGGCCTCCCCCAGCAAGAGGAAGTTACAATGTCATTTTACAATCTACTCATAGCTGTTCTCCAATATGTCTATCACATTCTTCTCCTTAGTCACTAAGTATAGTATAGTCTACAGAGGGAATTAAGGCTTCAATGGAGGGAGGAGTTTCAAATAATTTCTGGACATATACTAAACCATCACAAGTTATTATTATTTCACAGATTGGCTGAACTAATTACCTTAGGCATAATTTCTAGTCATTTTTGTGTCATAATATGTCAGAAGATCTTTCTGATTGAAATGACCACATCCCCTCCAAAGATATTTATTTGATCTGGCAAAAATCTTTCAGTGCTTAAAAGGAAGAGGGGTTCACACTGCATAACATCATATCAGCAAAGAAACATATCTCAATAATAAATGAAATATGTGTCTTTTTGTTCAGACACCTGAATCCTGCAGTATAGAGATTTAACAGATTATCAAGTAAGACATCATTGTCTGGCTATCCCTATTGATGTGGTGGGAGGAAAGGTAGGAGACAGTTTTTGTAAGTCAAGGCACTTTTCTGAGAACACAAAAGCATTCTAGGAACACAAACTTGAGTGTCTTCAGAGGCCAAGCACGTAGTATAGATGGGTGAAGACCATAGGGGGTGGTGAGGCCTATAACATTCAAATGGCAGCCGAAAACAATAGCAACAATACCAGGCCAACCAAACAAACCACCTTCCAGTGTCCAGTGCTGAGCTCTAAGCTCTAATTTGCTGTTCTTTGGGGAAAATAAAGATGTAAAGAACCAGCAAGTTAAGGGAATCCTTGTGGTTCCTTCTTTCTGTCTGCCCCTCTATCCTAAACTAAGGATTAACTGCATGTCTCAGTCCATCATCTAGAGAGAAAGACAGAGGGCATCGTCTTCATCCTCTTCCATCTGTTGCACTGAATGCACTCTTTCTGTCCAAGGTATTTGGTCTCATATGCATGTCCTCTGGGGGCACATGTTAGGAGCAGTGTGTTTCTTTAAATAGAATGTCATTCCAGGTTTATTATTAGGCCGGTTTTGATCATGCTGTGTTGAGGCTACCTGTGCTTCAACAGTATAGAAATTCATACACTAGAAACAAGGCCAAATAGGCACAATATTTACCAAAAACTCTCGGTAGTGTACGTGATGACATCAGTGTTTGGGTTTGAAATATTCAGGGTACTGTTAATTTTTCTGTTATTCAAGGGAGAAAAGGCCCTTTCAGAAACATTTAGAACCTCCAATTTAATATAACCCCACCTTGAATGGCAACTCTAAATGAGTTTTTAATAACCTCTTCTCAGCCCAAGGATTAAGACCAAGGAAAAATAAGGTTTTGTGGCACTTATAAACTATGTCAGTTTATAGCATTTCAAAATGCAGTTTGTTCAACAGTGTGATAAGATACAATTTTTCCTTCATTCAGTTTTTTATTCACTATTTACCAAGTCTTATCGAGCAAGGAGATAAGTTGGTGAGCAAACAGACATAGCACCTCATGGAGTTAATAGTCAATCTAGTACATCAAATTTGCAAACACTGGGAATATGTATATTTAATTCCAAGTTAAATATTTTCTCAGTGGAGAAACTGACTCTCACACATTGATGAAAGCATTTGCTCCAACTATTAAAAATTAACTTGAAAAGATATATGGAGAGGCATAAAAAATAGGGATACATTTTGACTTAATAATTCTGCTTCCTAACAAAATATTCAACACGGCATATTTTAATTAAAATTTGGAAACAAATGCCCAGCAAGTGAGAAGCAGGCATATTACAAAGCATCAATCTGATGGTCTAACAGCTATTAAAAAGCATGATTATGAAGACAATGTAGCAACAAGGAAAATTTATAATGTCATGCTTAAGGGAGAGGATATAAACCCTATCTGTGTAACATTACAAATACATAAATACTTTTTAAAAGAGGCAAGAAAGAAATACACTGAAAAAAGGATACTCAACTTTCTTTTAGATTGCTATGGTTTGGGATATCTATTTTTCCTTTTTTTTCTCTCTATATATTTTAATGTATATATATTTAATCTTAGAAAACAAATATACTGAAAGTCCAGCCATTTTTTTAAAGAAAATTTATTATTTATTTCACTTTTAAAAATGAAATGCTGGCTGGGCGCGGTGGCTCACACCTATAATCCCAGCACTTTGGGAGGCTGAGGCGGGTGGATCACAAGGTCAAGAGATCAAGAACACCCTGGTCAACAAGGTGAAACCCCGTCTCTACTAAAAATACAAAAATTAGCTGGGCATGGTGATACGCGCCTGTAGTCCCAGCTACTCGGGAGGCTGAGGCAGGAGAATTGCTTGAACCTAGAAGCCGGAGGTTGCGGTGAGCCGAGATTGTGCCATTGCACTCCAGCCTGGGTAACAACAGCGAAACTCCATCTCAAAAAATGAATAAACAAATAAATGAAATGAAATAAAAATGAAATAGTTCATACATTTGCACGTCAGCCTTGTTCAGGGGAGACGCCAGTGTTCTCTGCCTCGTTCCACGTTTACTGTGTGTGCTGTCGAAGCAAGCACAAAGTAAGCTCTTCTTAAATAAGTTAGGAAAATTATGAAATCTCATCTGAATGGGTGAGATATAAAATTGCCTATCATGTTGTTTTTACTTTAGAACTTTTAGAGCATTTTGTTATAATATCATATAATACAAGAAGAAGAAAATAAGAAATAAAATGAGGAAGGGACATACTATTACCACAACCAATATCCCTGTGTCAGGACCAGAAAAATACAAATAGCTTGATATACCATCAAGGGTCTTGTGTGCTGGAACTTTCAGAAAGGAAGCCTTGGAGGCCTCTATTTTATCCCATAAGCCAGGCATAGGAAAAGCCCTGAGTCCAGTCAAAGAAATAGCAATTCATGAGTCAGATATAAAATAAATGAGGTGTGCACATCATTCTGTCAGTTGCTTCCTACTGACTAACCGAGAGCACATAATTCTGCTTCTGAATTCATTAATTTTGGCAAAACGTTTTGTTGGTCTACCTAATTCAGCTTCTCTGTTTAACAGTCAGGAATGTGAGGCAAGTTCACGTTATGATTTTAGTGGAAATTTTTGCTTTGGGGAGGCCTCTTCATTTATAAATGATATTAAAAATTATATCCTACAATGTCAAATTAAATATATAGACTCAGGTAAGCAAAGACTTTCATTCTAAAAGAGTACAATTTCTCTCTCCTGCAAAGGAGAGAAAGTGACTTGCAAGAGAAGTGGGACTATTGCATTTTTTTTATTGTTATTTTTTTAAAATTTTTTATTGCATTTTAGGTTTTGGGGTACATGTGCAGAACGTGCAAGACAGCTGCATAGGTCCACACATGGCAGTGTGTTTTGCTTCCTTTCTCCCCTTCACCCATATTTGTCATTTTTTCCCCAGGCTATCCCTCCCCAGCTACCCCCCCACTGGCCCTCCCCTTTTCCCCCCAATAGACCCCAGTGTTTAGTACTCCCCTCCCTGAGTCCATGTGTTCTCATTTTTCATCACCCTCCTATGAATCTGGAGAACATCATTCTCAGCAAACGGACTATTGCATTTTGAAGGAAACTTTGACCCTGAGATATGCAAATCTCTGAAGGGTTAGGCAGTAAAAGATTTTTTCTCTCTACGAAAGAACAAACAATGCTGGAAAGAACAGGATGTCAAAAAGTGGAATGAGCCAGGATGAATAATCTTACAGTAGAAAATAGAAAATTCTACCCTATGATCCTGCTATTTTCAGGAGGGAATCTTAAGGAGGGGTTGTATGATGGCTCAAGCAAAAGGCAGGTCCAAGTTCAGGGGCCAGAGGAAAGAGAGAACACTAACTAAATTTGGGTCAATTCAAGGAAGCAGGTATTTTATCCACATTGGTCAGTGGGTGAAACAGTTCAGCTAATCATTAATGATGCAAAGAATGGAATGTGGAGCATCTATGTTCAGCTTTGTTATAAAAAAAACAAGGTTGGCATCAGCAAGTCTTATCTACGTCACATGGGAAAGGATGTTTCCTTGTATAAGCTGTTTTCTGGAACACTAAGGGGTGGGAGGGTTCCTTCAACCCTCCATGTTTTCCAGGATCACAGGACTTGGGTAAAGATCAACATGGTCAGTAACTATATTGGTGCAAAGACCAATACATTAAAATTATGTATTACAAGACTTTTTTGACTTAAATATTCTTTTTTTTCTTTTCTCTCTGCCCCCATTTTGTGGGCCCCCAAATTATCATGGATCCTAGGCACTGTGTCTAATGGGTAAGTCAGCCCTGATCTGAGACACAGAGAGATTGAGGATCTCTAAGACCACTAAGCCAGCTACCGCAGAGCTCAGAAGAGAGCAACCAGGTTTAGACTTCTTTCTACACTTGTGACTATGAAGACTATGGAGAAGGCTCTGCTCAAGAGGTGGCATGAAGTCTTGGGGATGAGGGGATGTGTGGAGACATTAACTTTGATATAAGAATCTGCAGACTTAGAAGGAAAGGACTGGTAAGGGAAATTCATTATAGAGTTGATGGCTGGAAGTGCCTTAACAGTTGACTGTTCCAGGCACATCATTCAGCAACATATCTTAGGTATCTGCTACACACTTGGTGTCCCTTCCTTTACAGAGCTTACAGTCAAGCAGGGAAGACCAACGCACAAGAAATGGTAGTTGTGACAAGTGTCATGACAGAGGAAACAAGGTACATTAAGAGTGAGTAACAGGCACACGCAAACTGCATGGGGGAAGTGAGGTTCCAGATGAATCCCAAATAGAAACAAACCAGGCCCAGAGGATGCAGAAAGTGAGAGGAATGTTCTAGTAGGAAACATTGAATGCAGGAAGACCCAGGATGTGTGAGGTTTAAGAGGTGGAAAACCTGCGATCTTGCATTGGTTTTGCCAAATAGCCTTAACATTTGGGAAGTCATATATCAGTGAAAAAAAGGAGCAGTTAAAATCTCTCCCCAACCTGCTTCTAGGAGTTTTAGAATCCAAGACTAAGGAGCCAACAGGATTTGGAGGGTAAAGTCATGTGACTGAGAAAACTTAAAAAAAAAAAAAAAAAAAGCAGTGTCTCCCTACCCCATGTTTTTCTAAACCACCCAGTCATTCAGGTGAGGTACTTGGTCCATCCACAGCAGGCTGGAATGCTGGTTTCCATGCTGAATTTTTCACCCCCTCTTGAGACTTCTGATAGCTTTTCCCTACTCAGGCTACATTTTTTGTTTGCTGACAGAGTCTTGCTCTGTCTCTTAGGCTGGAGTACCGTGGTACAATCAGGGCTAGCTGAAGCCTCAACCGTGCAGACTCAGACTCCAGAGTAGCTGGTACTGCAGGTGTGCAGCCACCACACCTGGCTAATTTTTATATTTTTTGTGGAGACAGGGGTCTCCTCAAATTGTCCAGGCTGGTCTCAAACTCTTGGGCTCAAGCAATCCATCCACCTCAGCCTTCTAAAGTGCTGAGATTACAGATATGAGCCACCATGCCCAAGAGGCTGCAGTCCTGAGGAAAACGTCCTTCCCTCCCTTATCTAAAGATCCTGGATATACTGATTTCTTTTCTTTTGGGTATACGCCCAGCAGTGGGATTGCTGGATCATATGGTAGCTTTATTTTTAGTTTTTTGAGGAGCCTTCAAACTGTTCTCCCTAGTGGTTGTACTAATTTATGTTGCCACCAACAGTGTATGAGGGTTCCCTTCTCTCCACAGCCTTGCCAGCATTTGCTATTGCCTGTCTTTTAGATATGAGCCATTTGAACTTGGATAAGATGGTATCGTTGTTTTGATTTGTATTTCTCTGATAATCAATTATGTTGAGCACCTTTTCATATGCCTGTTTGCCAATTGTATATCTTCTTTTGAAAAATTTCTTTTTGGGTCTTTTGCCCATTTTTATATTTATTTATTTATTTAGAGATGGAGTCTCACTCTGTCACCCAGGTTGGACTGCAGTGGTGCAATCTCAGCTCACTGAAGCCTCCACCTCCCAGGTTCAAGTGATTCTTCTGCCTCAGTCTCTGGAAAAGCATCAACTACAGGCATTCACCACCATGCCCAGATAATTTTTGTATTTTTAGTACAGACAGAGTTTCACCATGTTGGCCAGGATGGTCTTGAACTCCTGACCTCAAAGTGATTCACCCAGCCCAACCTCCAAAAGTGCTAGGATTACAAACATGAGCCATTGCGCCAAGACTTTTGCCCATTTTAAAGCTGAGTTATTACATTTTTTCCTATAGAGTTGTTTAAGCTCCTTAGTACAACCACCATGGAGAATAGTTTGGAGATTTCCCAAAAAGCTGAAAATAGAACTACCATATGATCCAGCAATCCCATTGCTAGGTATATACCCAAAAGAAAGGAAATCAGTATATCAAAGAGATATCTACACTCTCATGTTTACTGCAGCGCTGTTCACAATAGCCAAGATTTAGAATCAACCTAAGTTGTCCATCAGCCAACAAACAGATAAGGAAAATGTGATACATATACACAGTGGAGTACTATTCAGCAATAAAAAGAATGAGATCCTGTCATTCGCAACAACATGGATGGAACTGGAGATCATCATGTTAAGTTAAATAAGCCAGGCACAGAAAGACAAAATTCACATGTTCTCACTTATTTGTGGGCGCTAAAAATTAAAACAATTGAACTCATGAAGATAGAGTAGGAGGACGGATATCAAAGGCTGCGAAGGGAAGAGTAGGGTGGGGAAGTGAGCGGGGTGAGAATGGTAAACGGGTAGAAAGAATGAATAACACCTACTTCTTGGTGGCACAGCCGGTGAACGAAGTCAATAATAATATAATGGTGGAGTTAAAAAGAACTAAAGGAGTATAATTGGATTGTTTGGAACAGAAGGGATAAATGTTTGAGATGATGGAAACCTCATTTACCCTGATGTAATTATTACACATTGTTTGTCTGTAGCAAAATATGCCATATACCCCATAAATATATACACCTACAGTGTCCTCCCAAAAACAAACAACAACAACAAAGATTGAGGTGTTCATTCTCTGCCAGTGCCTAGGGTCAAGAGTTCAGGTAACCTGGGCTCTTTTGATGTACTCCCTCCCTAACTAATTCTCTCCAGCCCTGAGAGGACAGGAAACCGCAGGTTGCTGTCAGGCCTTTTCCAGCCACCACCGCAAGTGAGAGAGGGAGGGAGGCGGCGGGCTAGGGCTGCAGGAAGGGAGAGCGGGGACTCTGACCCGCGGGCGGCTGGGGCCAGAGCTGGCCGGGTCTGCGCGCTGGGGGCCGGGCTGGGCGGGCTGGGGCGGGGCGGGAGCGGTGACCTTAAGGGGAGACATTCCAGCCTGCTGCCCCGCTGCTCAGCGCCAGTCTGCGAGTCCCCTTTGTTCCTCCGCCCCTCGGCTCAGGTAAGGCAGGCACCCCCAGAGCTCAGCTCGGGCTGCCCGGTCGCAGGCGGGGGTCTTCGGCTGCGCCTGGCTGGTGCAGCCGCGCGCCTGCCGGCCCTTAGAGCCCGGAGCAGAAGGGGACTGGGCCTGGCCCGCGCTTGGATACATCTGGGCGGGAAAGAGGGTGGGCGTGCGCAGCGCTGTCTCTAACCTCTTCCTTTTGCTCTCAGTTCTTGCCCTTGGGATTCGGAAAAGTCCCTCTTCAAACTCTTACCCAGATGTGGCATCGGGAGTGAACAAAGCTGCTCATTCCGCAGTATCCCTACCTGGGCTCCTGAGAGGAGTGAGCCCCAGATAGGTTTAGGAACCTGCCTTTCACTTAGGATACTTTCTTGGAACTAGGGAATTGAAATTCCACGGAACTGAATCAGTTGAATTAATTAATTTATTTTATTAAAAAAAAAACTTTAATTTTAGGTCAAATCAACTTTAAAGCTGAGTTCAGGGGCAGAGAAAACTACCGGATAGGGCTGAGCCTGCTGGAGTGTGACAGCTTGGGGATGCGGGGACAGAGCTGGGGAAACATTCCTCGCTCTGCCGGTTGGGCTGAGTCGGCAATAAAGACTGCAGGGACAATACTTTTGCCTCTTGTAAAGTTGGATGAGAGGCAGGAGGATAAAGGGGGGACTGTCTGTGTTGACAAAATCTGGAAAAGGTGATGCACTGGGAATCCTCCCTTTGGAAACAAGTGCTTCCTTGTACTATCTTCCTCATTTATTAGAGCATTTTTGTATCCATTTCAATACAGTTAACGACATTCTATTAAACAAAATGTAGGTGTATGGTACGTTTGTCTTTGGCCCCCCTCCTAGTTTTGTGCTAAATGAGTTCAAGGTCAACTATTGGAGACTAGGTCACCTGTTGGGAATCTGTTTACCGCAAGCGTTCATTCCTCCAGCCCTTCCCATTGTGACTGCCAAAGCACCACATCTTTCTTCCCTGTCTAGCTCTCACCACTTACTAACCAGCCCAAAAGGAAAGCAACCTCTTCTGTCATGCAAGTACTTGTGGCTAAGTTGGTCTTGTGCCGCTTTTTTGTAAACATCGCTTATATTCCTTTGCCGTTTTTATTCCTTCAATGTTAAAATGTGCCAATAGTGTCTTCCGTAAAGAATGCAAAAGGCTGTACGAGGGAGATTGTCCCTTAGACAAGACAAACCCTAGGTATTTTACCTCTTACCTACAGAGTTGGGCTTTTGATTTGGAAACCTTATATCCACATGTGGCTAGAAAGTTTAGAAGGCCCTGGGTGGCCTGCTGACACTGGGTTTCTGAGTTAGCAGCTAAAAGTAAGTCATCCACATATTGAAGAACCAGGGTACCTGAATATGAAAAATGACTAAGGTCCTGGGCTAGAGCCTGGCTAAACAGGGGGGGCTATCTCAAAAGCCCTGGGGTAACACTGTACAGGTGAGCTGAGAATTCTGATCTAAAGGGTCTTCAAAGGCAAACAGAAACTGGGAGTCAGGACGTAATGGCACACCGAAGAAGGTATCCTTAAGTTTCAGGACTGTAAACCATTGTACCTCTCCTGGTATTTGAGAGAGCAGGGTGTATGGGTTGGGTATAGCTGGGTATAAAGGGATCACAGCTTCATTAATAAGCCTGAGGTCTTGCACTGGCCTCCATTGTCCATTAGGTTCTTATACTCATAAAATTGGAGTATTACAAGAGCTGTTACAGGACTTTACCTGACCCTGAGCTTTTAAGTTTCATACAATATCCTGCAGCCCCTTTTTGGCTTCTGGTCTTAGGGGGTACTGTCTTTGGTAAGAAAAATAAGTGGGATCCTTTAGCTTTATTCAAATTGGGCATGCATTTTTTGCCTTCCCAAATTGTCCCTCCATTGCCCAAAACTCAGGATTAATCCCGTATTCAAATAATGGGCAGTAGATAGGGATTTCCTCACTGACGATGTTCATATAGATAATGGCTCCTGCTCTGGCTAACAGGTCCTGCCCTAGTAAGGGAGTGGGACTTTCTGGCATGATGAGGAAGGCATGGGAGAAGAGTACCTCTCCCCAGTTGCAACTTAGGGACTGGGAGTAACATCAGGAAACTGCTTGCCCTAGGACTCCTCGGACATTTACAGACTTGGAGGACAATCATCCAGGACAAGAAAGCAAAACTGAGAAGGCCACACCAGTGTCCAGGAGGAGATCGACCTCCTGGCCCTCTATGGTCAGCTTTAACCGGGGCTTGGTGACGGTGTTGGCTTGTGCTTGTGCTTGCCCCGGGCACCCTCAGACTTGCTATTAGGTCATCTGGTTAGCTCCCTCAGGCCCTGGGAACCTTCGTCCCCTGGGAAAATGTGCTTTCCAGTGATCCCCTTGGCACAGTGGGCAAGGACAAGGAGGTGGTCCATTCTCTGGGGATGATCTCTCTTAAAGTGTCCCAGTAGGCCACAGTGGTAGCAAGTTCTGCCAGCCTGGCGGCTAACCCAAGCCCTTCCCTCTTCCGAGCCCCTTGGGTCTGCTTGCTGAAGGCCATGACTAGGGCTGCGGCCTTTCTCTGGTCCCTCCTGTTCCTTTCAGCCTGTTCCTCCTATGTCTATTATAGAACACCAAGGTTGCTAGATTTAGTAATGATTTTAGATACTGTTCTGGCCCCCTCCTAATGTCTGCTGCTGATTGCATAGTAAATTTGTCTTTTAGTATTAGCTGACCCTCAATGGAGTCTGGTGACAGGGGACTATACTTACTTAAGGCCACCGGTAACTGCTCAAGGAAGGCTGTTGGGTTTTCTTCCTTTCCCTGAGTTATGGTGGATAACACTGCATAGTTCATGGGCTTTTTCCTAGTTCACCTTAATCCCGCAAGTATGCAGGTCAATAGGTGCCTATGACTCCTGTCCCCCTGTTCCGAGTCAGGATCCCAGTGAAGGTTTGTGCTAGGGACTACTTGTCTAACTGTAGGGAATTTTTTCTCCTCTGGCATCATTTGGTCATGTACTTGACTAAGGTACCAGGTGTCCCCAAGCTCTTGAGCCAGCACTAGAGCAGCCTCTCTCTCATTGCTGGTTAAGGTCTGACTAAGCACTAACATTATATCTTTCCAATATAATTCAAAGGACTGACCCAGGCCCTGCAGAACATCTGCGTACTTGTCCGGGTCATCTGAAAATTTTCCTAAGTCTGCCCTGATTTGCTTTAAGTCAGAAAGTGAAAAGGGGGTATGTACTTTGGTGGGGCCAAATTCTCATCCTGCTGCCTGTAGGGGAAAGAGTTGGGGCATCCTAGTAGCCTGAGGTGTGTTGGTCTCTTTGGCCTTCTTCCCTGACTCCTCTTGGGTTATAGGAGCTGAGGAGATCTGGTCAGTATCAGTGGAGGGAGGAGCTAAATATGGGGGTAGTCCTGAGGAGGGGCGGTAAGGTATAGGTTTCAGGCCTTACGTAGCCAAGGATTATCTCTCAAAGAAAAGAAAACTTGCACATATGGGACCTCAATCCATTTACCTTCCCTCTTACAGAACACATCTAATTGTAGAGGGTGTTATAATTTATACTTCCCTTAGGAGGCCCGGTTTCTCCACTGAGCGGAGAGTATCACAGCCACACTATTTGGCAAAGAAAAATGAGCTGCTGCTTCTTCAAATATCATAGGTAAAATTGGTCCAAGTTATCAAGGATACACTTGAAGGGCGACTTTGCCTTGGGAAGATTAGCACACATCTGAAATTGAACACGGGGATGCCTGCATCGCCTGCTATTCCTTGCAACTGCTAGCCCTGGGGCATCCCCAGTTACAGCACCTTATAGTTTCCTTGCACCCTAGATGCATGATCATCTTCTGGGCCCTCCCATGTTCCAGCTTTAGTCATGCTTACCAACATCATGCAAACACACTCACTGTCTGAATGTCCTTATGGCCAGCTTAAAGACATGGGGACTGCCAGGTTTAGTGGCCCTGTACCAGTGCATCCTTGAAGAACTAGGCCAGTGAGCTTTGGCAATGGATTCCAATATTCCCTAGCAAGAGTTCAATTAACATAGGCCTGACCATAAAACTGCCCCAGGAGAATAAACTTCTTGAGAGGGGCCTCTAAGCACAATAATCTTAAAGAAGGTAATGGTAATGGCTGGCCACATGCCCAAGGTGGGAACTATGCCCTCGGGACCCATGCCTTCTCCCCTACCCTATTCTTCATTATAGGAATATGCCCTATGGTTGTGGGGCCTGTAATCAACTATTTGAGCCTCGGACCCATTCTGACTATGGAATTCTAGATGGAGAAGTCCTGCCGTATGGAGAGCCAATCCTAGGCAAGACAAATCATACATCACTGGATTCTGGCATCACTCAGTTGGATTGGGAAATTGTGGGTGACAAGAAACACAATGTCTTATAGCCTCCAGTACCCACTGAAAGACTCTGGCTCTGTTAGGACATAACCTAGCACTGCTGACTAAGGGAACTGGCCCTGTGTATTGCAGGAGGCCCTCATGTGTAGGAAATATCTTAGAGGAAACAGCTGGGAAGAAGTTTGCCTTACAGAAATCTGGATTCAGGAGGTCGGGGCCTGAAAGGCTGGGTGTGGCTTGCATAGGTGGCTTTTTCTTTGGAGATTTAAGTGGGATCTCAACCTCAACCAGACTGAACTGGGAGTTCAAGACCTTGCTCTTTCCTCTGGCGGGCCCTCAGCTAGGCCCAGAGAAACAAAGAACAGCAAGACAGGGAAGCTCGTTCAGAAAAAGCCTGACATCTGTGTCTTTAGACCATGATTTTGAAAGGCTGGGCATGGCTTGCATAGGCAGCTGCCGCTTCAGCAGCCAGGGCCCAGCCGCTGCCTGCACGCATGGCCCCATGCAGGCCTGGTGGTCTGGTGCTCTCCACAGGCGGTGCCACCCAGCCTTGCCTGCACCACTGTGCCCAGTCTTTACCTCCTTAACAAATTTTAAAGAAGCGAAAGGACAGATTAGCTAGCAAAAGGGGTCCGATACCACTCACTGCTTTGAAATCCAAT